TTTTTTTTTTTGTATTTTTAATTTTCCGTTTTCTGTTTTTTTGTTTTTCTGTACCACCCATCCCAACCCCCACCCGCAAACTATTTTTCAACTTGCACATTTAAGGTAAAAAACTTTTTTAAGCAAGATAAGTATGGTTCTAAAACATGGGTCAAGTTGGGCGGGTTGGGTTATGACCCATTGTTTAACCCATCTTGACTCATCCCATTTTAGCCCAAGTATACTTTGGGCTGGGTTGGGCAATGATCCATTTATTGACCTAACCCATCTTGACCCGCCCAAATTTAGCCCAACTCGCCCATTTGCCACCCCTAGTTTCATGGATGGTCATTAAACTTTTACTTTATTGCACCAAAGTTGCTATATTATCTTTATAATTAGAAAAAAGATTTATGTAATATACACCTTCAGTATGAACAATTTTTATACCACCAAGTTACACTTATCTACGGTAGCAGATAGTCTATCCTACTTTCTAAGACACTACAACATTATGCATCTATAGTTATGATATACATCGTAACTATTTTTGTGGGTAAATACTTTAGCTACAAAAAGAATAATTTCCGTAACATTCGTAGCAAGGAATAACATAACTAAAAGTTAGGTACAAACTTTAAATAGTGAAATTACAAATTTCACAATTTAAGGAGGCTTACCTATATTTATCCATTTGATGATTTCATGTGCTAAAAATAGTTTATACTAATGATGTATGTTTACCCTTAAAATCTAATAACAATTAAATTTATAAGTAGTTTTAAGGATACGTAATTTCACTTAGTACCAGTTGATAAATACAAACGATTAATAATAGAAATTAACAGTAAAATAAAGCAAACCAGTATTGAAATGAAATTCAGCCCTCAAGCTAGATCGCCCTCGAACCGACTGAGAATAGAGTTATGGAATCTGAAGTAAACTGGTGAACAAGAGAGTATAAGAGAGAAAGAGCATTGTATTGCTTTGATATGCGAGAATAATATGGTTACAAATGATTATAACCCCCTTTATATAGTAGAGGAATTTCACTTATGGTACAATTCTAATTACAGAAGAAAATCCCATGATTAGTTAAACAACCGTTCTTAATTTGATTCATTCCGAGATTTCTGCCACGATCCTCGACTAGTATCGGATATCTTGCCTTTCAATTATTATGCTATCTTCAGTTTTGCTCGATATCTATCCTGTTTGGTCTCGATCATTACTGGTCTATCTTGATTAATCAGTGAAATCAGGTGGGCTCGATTTTAACCGTATACATATAGTCCCCTAATTTTTTGGAGTATAATGACAAGAAATGAATTGAGTACTCAATCTTTACCCCGATTTGTCATGACATCATCACCGTGACGTAAGTGACAGAGGTGACTAGAACATCTCGTCGGTATAGTTCTCTAGGCATTTAGTGCTTGTTAGTCGATGGTCGGCCACCACCAGCACTGAACCGTCTTCTTCAACCTATAAATGCATCTTTCTTCATCTTCCAAACTTTACTTACAAATCTTCTCTCATTCTAACTTTCTCGGTTGTTCGCCTTTCTCAGACCTTTGTGTTTCCAATTCCTGGGATTTCTTTACTCGTTTGATTGCAAAATATTAAGTATTTTTCTTCGTCTTCCATTTTTCTTAATCCATTACATGGTTAAAACTTCAAAAATCGTTCCTCAAAAGGAATAAGTTCCTCATCAAGGCTCGCCGACAAGGAAACCGCGGCGGAGCCACGCCCTGAAGAATTCTTTATTCCGCTGTGCATCATCAAATTTGATTTTAAGGTCAAGAAGACTTCCTCAGTGCCAGGTCGATGCGAGCCGGTATCGAGGTATATATGCTCGATCTCCGATAAACTCCTTTCCCAAGTTAAAAAGGACTGCAATTGGGGCAATAAGCATGTAGTGGTGCCCACTCCTGAAGAATCGATTACCACCCACGTGGAAGGATTCTTGAGTGTTTATACTTACCCCTTCACGATGGGTTCTTTAGATCCAATTATCGTGGATGTCTGCAAGAATTACGAGGTCGCCATTGCCAAATTCATCCTTCTTTCTGCAGGATAGTGATACTCCTTTGATTCTTTGTGATTAAGGTCGAGGGGCTTCCCTTCACCCTCGACCATCTCATTCGCCTGTATAGCCCCCGACTTTATCGTAGGGGTGGGGGAGATTAATAAAGCTTAGCGTCCGGCCAACAAAGCGTTTTTCTCAAGCATAGATGAGGATAAAGATCGGGGTTGGATGGACCGATTCATTCAAGTGAAGACCTCAGACTTGATCCCGCCCGAGAGTGCCCTTTCCCGAGAAGTGGAATATAAAATATAGGTATAATTTCGTTCTTAATTCCTGTTTATTGCTTTCGTTTCCTTATTAGTGTTTTACTTGGTGTAGCCGTTGTTTGGATGCCAGAAGTGGTTCCTCATCTCGAGGACTGGGTCCGAAGCCTGGTATCGCAGTCAACACACGCCAAGCATGCTTGGCGCGACTTATCGAAGGGCCGATGGGAGGTTAGTAGCCATGGTAAGTTCCTCCCCTCAATTTAATGATTTGACCACTGTTCGGGCATTTTTTTGAGACTATTTGTTTCTTTTTTGTGTAGGTCTTAGGAAGGAGGTGATGATGAGGCCCCCATCTGGAGAAGAAGAAACACTTCCCCCATCACCTATCCCGAAGTCGGTGAGAGAGAAGAAAAGGAAAGAGGCCCCGAGTTCGAAGAAGTTGGGGTAACAAGAGCCAAAAAAGAAGAAAACCCGTAAAACCAAGGGAAATATCATCCCTCTAAATTTGGAGTCGGTCCTTCTGCCAAGGGAAGAGCCCGAAGAAGAAGAAGAAGTAGAAGGCAATGGACTGGTGGTCCGAGTGCGGGCTAATGAAGCTGTTCGAGGAACCC